AGGGGCACGGCGCAGCCGACCCTTGACACAGGGCGTGCACGGCGGCGCAGGCGAGGGAGAGAGGGCAGGGAGCAACGTAGGGATACCTAAGACAAGACCGTGTTGGGACATGTGACACAGACGTGGGAGTGCGGGTGACCCAAGCAGTGGTGCCACAGCAGCGACGGGTGGGTGAGCGACCGACACGAGCAAGCCACAACGACCTGGAAGGGCGCGACCACCTAGGGGGATGCTCCCACCAGGGGGGACGTGGTGTCTAGAGTGAATAGACCAGACACCGGATCACGGGGGAACGTGGTGAGACGGGCACCAGTGGCGGCCTCGGTGCAGACTGCATACATCTGGTGTCCACAAAACGTAGTGGTGATGATGAGGCTCTGAAGACAGCTGACACCATCTAGGTTCCTGGAGAACGAGGGGATGTGTAAGCTTGTAAGGGAGCCCGAGAGAACTGCCGGACAGGGAAGGGTACTAGAGCTACGTGCAACTACGAGACCTGAGGAGGGGTCAGCAAGCGCTACAGCGGCAGGGGCAGCAAACGGCGTGAGTGCAGTGTGGTCGCGAAAGAAGCAAGCAGACGCACCTGAGTTTAGCGTGAAAAAGAGCGAGGCGGTGGCGTCAGAAGGCAGAGGAGCTAGAGTGGAGCCGAGGCTAAACAAGTCACGTGGTCCTACGCCTGACGCAGCAGGTGAATCTAGGCTATACATGGTGGACATACCTATACTAGGCAACACAGGGTAATAGGGTCCAGTCATACTGGAGTCATCAGCATATATGACATACATAGTAGACCTAATCTAATCCATATCCAGCTCAACGACAGGCACACGGCAACGCACCAGGCTGTACCAGTTGGGGGGGTCCGATGCGGGGCCGAAGCGGAGATGGAAGAGGTCGTCCACGCAGCGGTAGTAGCAGGCGGCGGTGTGACCGGGACGGTCGCAGACGATGCCGCGGCAGGGCCGGACTGAAGTTGGTACTGGCAGGTGACCACACTGGAGCCGCCATCCGACACAAAGCTACGCGGCCCACCACCACGATGACCACTACTAGCGCCGCCGGGCCACCACAGCGGGGGGGGTCCCCACGGCGGCTGCTGCTGCTGCTGCTCCTGCTGCTGCACCAAGGCATCAGCCCCGGTCCCCTCGTCTGTTCCACCATCCCCTCCACCACCGCCGCCACCACCGCCACCTCCGCCACCTCCGCCACCCCCACCACCCCTCCCGCCTCCACACCCCCCCCGGTCTCGACGTCCCCTACCCTGACAAGCTGCAGCGGTCGCCGCAGCTGAGGTCATCTTAGCAACAGCCCCAGAGACGACATAATAAGTCCACTGGGAGGGAGCACAGCCCCGGAAGATAAGGAGGGCCGTAGTACGGCTAGATTGAGCAATAGTACGGCTAGACCGTAGTCAAGGAGGCGGGTAGAGGCGAAGTTAGCGACAAGGGCGTCAAGGCTCGAAACCGGAACAGACGGGTCGGTAACGAGAGAGGCAAGGACCCGAGGAACAAGAGGATGAGCGGCACGCAGGTAGTCAGATAGAGGGGGGGGAGCAACGACAAGGGAGGATGGAGGGGGCGACAGGAGAAGGGGAGGACGAGATGCGTGGGAACGAAGCAACATAGGGTGAGAGCGTGAGACAAGGGAGACAAGTCGAGCACGAGAGGGACGGCGAGACCAGACGTGAGACGGGGGAGTCGGGTCAGGAGACAGAGGAGGGGACACAGGAGGGGAACGAGGGGGGAAACGGGCCGGAGACGCGTCCGGAGGAGGGAACACAGGGCCGGAGACAGGAGGAGGAGAAGGAGGCACGGGCACGGGGTGAGGGGACGGAAGGCCGAGCAGGCGAAGAACGGACACCGGCGGGGACTGCTGTGACGGCGGTGTGATGCCGACACCGGGACTGCAAGCTGCCGGGCGGCAACCTCCAAAACACTCCACACCAGCAACCCCAGAAGAAACACCCCCAAAGCTCAGAACCCCTCGAGCACTGGTACCACCCCCAGGCCCGCCGGGACAAGCCACGACAGGAGTCCCAGGACTAGTACCCACCCCAACTCCACCACCCCCAGAGGCAACGAGCTGCTGCGGCGACGGCTGCGGCAGCGGCGGTCGCAACGACGGCTGCGGCGACGGCGGCGGCGGTGACGACGGCTGCGACAGCGGTGGCGACTACGGCTGCGGAGGCGGCGGAGGAGGAGACACCTGAGAAGGAGCAGGCAGCAAGTACTGCGCCGCAGGACTACCAAAGTCAGTAGACTCCTCAACCGGTACAACCAACGTAAGTGGGGTGACGTGGGACACACTAGAGGGGGTAGGATGAGGAGGGGGAGGAGGAGGGGCGGCGACGACCGAGGAAGGGGTGACCAGGAACTTGGGGGGGGTAACCGGGGGACCTTGGTGGGGGAAGCGGCGGAAGAAGGAGACGGACTCGTCAAAGGTGACGTCACGGGAGTGAAAGAACCTGTGAGACGGCGGGTGGTAGAAGTGCCAGTCGGACGCGTCAAGGGGAAAACTGAGGAAGACACAGGGAAGGGTGCGGGCAGTGAGCTTGTCCGTGCCAGAGGCACGAACGTGAGCAAGACAGTCCCAGACGTGGAACGCAGATGCGTCACCAGGTGACCCAGACCAAAGGAGGGTCGGCGAAACCTGAGGCTGCTGGGGGTGCGGCCACAGGTTAAGCTGGTGAGCGGCGTAGCGAACGGCGAACGGCCACAGAAAATGGGGTGCACCGGCATGGATCATGGAGGTGCGAGCCACCTCCATGACCAAACCGATGCGTCGCTCAGCGACCCCATTCTGCTGCGGGGAGTCCGGCAAGGTGAATGTCTGGGTGATGCCCTCCGCACGACAGAAACAACCAGGGACACCAGAGGCAAACTCGCCACCACGGTCGGAGTGGAGGCGCAAGACAGGGAGACCGCGACGGACACGCGCAGTGACAAGCCACGGGATAAGAATGTCAGGCACGTCGGCCTTCCGCTCCAGGGGGAACACAGTGGTGTAGCGCGTGTAGTCGACGACAAGCACTAGGAAGTAGTGCTCTCGACGCGGCCCATGGACGGGGGCGGGGCCCCAGACGTCCATGTGCAAAGTCTGTAGCGGTGCGGCTATAGGGGGAAACGAGGAGGAGTGAGGAGCACGGCGAAGCCGGCCCTCGACACAAGGCGTGCAAGGTGGGGCAGGGGAGGAGGGAAACCCACAGAAGGACCCAGGGAGGCCGAGGACGAGACCGTGCTGTGACATGTGACGCAGACGCGGGAGCGTAGGGTGACCTAGACGGTGGTGCCACAGGAGAGTCGGGTGGGTGAATGACCGACAGGAGCAAACAGCAGCAACCTGGGTAGGCGCAGCCACCTGAGGGGGTCCCAGCCGAGGGGGGTCACAGTGTCCAGTGTGAACAGTCCGGACACCGGGTCCCGGGGGAACGTGGTAAGGGGGGCACCAGAGGCGGCCTCGGTACAGACAGCGTACTGCTCGTGACCAGGGAACGTAGTGGTGACGCCAAGGTCCTGGAGGCAGCCGACATCAACTAGGTTCCTGGAGAACGAGGGGATGTGCAGGCCTGTGAGAGAGCCCGAAGGAACCACCGGGCAGGGGAGGGTGCTGGAACTGCGGGCGACTAGAGGGCCAGAGGAGGGGTCAGCCAGGGAGACGGCGGCCGGGACAGCAAGCGGTGTCAACGCGGTGGAGTCGCGGAAGAAGCACCCGGAAGCGCCAGAGTCGAGGGTGAAGGAGAGCGGGGCAGTGGCGGCCGGAGGCAAAGTAGCGACAGAAGCACCAAGGCTAAACAAAGCAGGGGATCCTACGCCTGACGCAGCAAGAGAGTCTAAGCAAGGCACACCTACACTAGGCAACAAGGGGTAATAAGACGGAAGCACACTAGAGTCATCAGCATACATCACATGCAGAGCAGCAAAAATCTCATCCATGTCCAGATCAAAAATCAGAACCCTACGACTAAGCAAGTTGTGCCAGTCTGGGAGCTCGGGCGACGGGCCGAAACGCTGACGAAATAGGTCGTCCAGGCGACGGAAACAGCGGACGGAGGTATGACCGATCTTACCGCAAACGAAGCCACGGCGAGGACCGGTCTGAAGCAGGTACTGACAGCGCGCGGCACCCGAACCACCACTCGGCAGCCCACCACGCGCACCACCGCCACGTCCAGCGCTGCCACCAGCGCCGGGCCACCCAGGCGGAAGACGACTCGTCCGCCTCTGCTGCTGCTGCTGCGACTGCTGCGGCTGCGGCGACGGCTGCAGCTGCGGTGGCTGCGGCTGCTGCGGCTGGCGCGGGTCCAGCTGCAACACCGGCGACTGCTGAGACGGCTGCTCGACTGCACCTGTCAGGGTCCCTGCGTCAGCACCACCACTAGGTGACCCAACTCCAGCACCACCTACACCCGCACCCCCACCCCCGTCGCCACGTCTTGCCTTGGGGCGGCGACCCTTCCCCGGACGAACCTGTGCGGCAGCGGCAGTCTCAGCCACAACAGCAGAACCGTCGGAGAAGGTGCACTGAGCGGGGGCACAACCCTTAAAGATAGGGACCGGCACAGTATCGCTGGTTTGAGCGATAGAGCGGTGGCGGGCCTCTATAGCGGACAGGGTGTCAACAAAGTCAGTGAGGGTAAGGTCTGCGGGGTGGACGCTAAGAAAGCGGTCACGGGCAGTGGCAAGACGGTCAGGGAGGAGGGTGGCTAGCAGGTAGAGAGTAGAGGTGAGGGGCGGCTGGTGGGCTAGAAGCTGTGTGGGGGTGCAGGCAGCACGCCAGGTCTCATCTATGGTGCGCAGGTGAGCGGCCAGGTCGTCAACAGTGGGGAACGACGCAAGATCAAGAAAGAGCATGGGGAGGATCAGACGATCGACCGAGGCAGCAGGCGGGGTGGAATAGCGCTGATACAGCGAGATTCTGGATCCAGCAATGCTCGCTTTCGAGAGGCTCGCCGTGTTGCGTACAGTGGCCAACGACAAAAACATGAGCGTACAACACTTGGAAATAAAGCCTTTAAAGCTAGTAGTTGAAGTGTTCGCATACTCGAGAACTAGAAGCACGAGCCTATGTGAATATAGTCACGACGTCCCTCCGATATCCGCGCACCATAAGCAACCTAGGCACACCATCTACAAGCCTATCCATATACTCCATATAGCAGTAAGGAGGATGGTGGATGGGCGGGGGTGGCAAGCTGACAAGCACCAGTGCCGCCATCTTAGAGTATCTTTTAATTATAGAGTTTAGCTTAATTGTAGTGTAGAGAAACTTGTTTACCTGACCCTCGTCCACTCCCTTTCCGTTACCTCCTCGTGCAGGTAACTCCTGTTTTGCACTACGCTGCTTTTCAATCCGTCCACTTGTCTCTGGGCCATTTGTTGTTACAGCTGTGCTGTGGGGAGATGGTGATTCGATATCAATCATCCTGGCGATGTTCTTTCGTGCCTGTTTAAAGGGGGGGGCGGAGTGTGGGGGAAAAGGGGAAGGGGGGGGTGGGGGGGGAGGATGGGGATGGTGCAGGAAGGGGGGACTGTTTACATGTTCGCATGTGCGTGTGTGTGTGTGTGTGTGTGTGTGTGTGGTGTGTGTGTGTGTGTGTGTGTGTGTGTGTGTATGTGCATGTGCAAGTGAGAGAGAGTGCACGTGCATGTGTCCGTGTAAGAGGTTTTTGAGAGTTCTCATAAACTGCATCTCTACGTGTGTGCACTGCTGCGCTTGCGTGCATTTGAAGGCACTCACCCGAGTAAACGCCTCCATGGCACCTTGTCTCGCCAGCTCAGCCTCGGGCCCGTCCTCATCCCCCACCACATCCTCCCACGCCCTCATCGTCACCACCACCACGTCTGCCTGCATGCGCAGGTCGTGCAGAAACTGGGCCACGTCCAGCTGCAGGGTCTCTGCGGCTATGTCGTCCTCCGCAATGCAGAACACCTGTGTGTGTGGGTGTGCATGTGTACGGGAGAGGGAGAGAGAGAAGTGAGCCGCGTCCTCCCATGCCGTCATGGTCACCACCACCACATCTGCCTGCATTCGCAGGTCGTGGAGGAACTGCGCCACGTCCAGCTGCAGTGTCTCTGCGGCTGTGTCATCCTGTGCAATGCAGAGCAGAACACGTGATGGAGAGACAAGGAGGGAGGGAGGTGGTATGATCTGAGAGAGCAGGTGGTTGCAAGCATCACCACCACCACATCTGCCTGCATGCACAGGTCGTGCAGAAACTGTGCCACGTCCAGCTGCAGTCTTCAAATGTGGGTCGAGACCTGAGAAGCTGCGACAGCAGCAGCATGGTGCCCCCATCCCTTACGATCCAGTACAGGTCGGTCGTGCTGTACTGCCCGCAGCCATTAAAGCCCAACCAAGCCATACACTGACAGGTGGAGTATCTTGCACCCTTAAAGCCCACCTGTATTTTGCATGCTTCAAATGTGGGTCGAGACCTGAGCAGCTGCGACAGCAGCAGCATGATGCCCCCATCCCTCACGATCCAGTACAGGTCGATGGTGCCGTACTGCTTACACCCCTCTGCTGGCCATTCGTCCAGCCCCTTTACTATCACACACGCCTTGCTGGCCGTGTTGCTGTCGTTGATCAAGCTCACGAATGTGTCGGGGATGTGGCTGTAATAGGGGTCGAAAAAACGAGCGGGGGGGTAGGAATCATGAGTGGGAACGAGGGGAGGAGAGAGAGCTGTGTCGATTTCCTACCAGTCAAAACGCTTTTTCAAAGCTTGAAGTAAAAGGTACATTCATACCAATCAAAACGCTTCTTCAAAGCTTGCAACGCGCCTAGTAAGTCGTCACAAACACTTCCAACCAGCTCCATTCATGCGATGCGCAATGACTTTTGAGGCGCCTCAAAAGACACTTCCAACCAGCTCCATTCATGTGATGCGCAATGTGACATGATGGTTCAAAGGTACTGATGCCTTAATTAGTGGGCTTTAAAGCCCGAGTCTAGAATGGTTGAAAACCATGATTACTGATCATGAAAACAGTGCAAAAAGAAATTGGGCGAAAGTAATTTCGGCAAAGTTCCCCCGACGAACAAAGATTCCGGCGAAATCGCGGAACCGTGATCGCATCAGGGAAATTTTTCGGCAAGAACCGAGTTCAACAGTGCGTGAACAGTCCGGGGGGAGTGGGGGGCTGGGGGGGGAACAAACAGTGACGCGAGACCCCCACAAAAATGCATTCAGAATGGTCGCACGCAAACTCAAGAATACTGCGATGAACAGTGACTGGGTGCGTGTCTTATTGAGTGGCAGTCGCAAGCTGCCCCCCGTTTCCTGTGAGTTGCGACGATTTCGGGTCTGTACCTCGTTACCCTTCATCTGACGAAAGCAAGTTCAGGATTCCTGAGATTGATTGCAAACCATTCTGAACTCGGGCTTTAAAGTTTCCAGCTGCAGCCACGAGTCTTGGTATAAGCACACGATGTTGGGCTTTAATCCTGCCAGCCCCATGCCTACTCTACAGGCACCTATGCTTTAGGTGTTGGGCTTTAAAGCTTCCTACCTCATCTCTTGCTGCAGCCATGACTCTGGGTATCTGAAGCACACAATGTTGGGCTTTAAGCCCGCCAGCCCCATGCTCTGCAGGGCGATCCCCACCCCTCGTTTCACAGATGATGCAACCATCACTTCCGCCACCCCCTCGCACTGCCTGCTGTCGATATAGGCCAGCAGCACCCGGGATGCTTGGTGGGCTGGAGAGGCTAGGGCGCTGGAGGGAGAAAGGGAGGGACGAGAAGAGAGGGATGAGGAACAGCCATCACCTCAGCCACCCCCTCGCACTGCCTGCTGTCGATATAGGCCAGCAGCACCCGGGATGCTTGGTGGGCTGGAGAGGCTAGGGCGCTGGAGGGAGAAAGGGAGGGACGAGAAGAGAGGGATGAGGAACAGCCATCACCTCAGCCACCCCCTCGCACTGCCTGCTGTCGATATAGGCTAGCAGCACCCGGGATGCTTGGTGTGCTTGTGAGGCTAGGGCGCTGAAGGGTGAAGGGGGGAGGAGGGAGGGGCGAGCAGGGAGGGAGGGGCGAGCAGAAAGGGACGGGCGAGGAGGGAGGGAGGGGCGAGCAGGGAGGAAGGACACTCATCATTCCAGCAGCACATCACTTCAGCTACCCCTCGCACTGCCTACTGTCGATATAGGCTAGCAGCACGCGGGATGCTTGGTGGGCTTGTGAGGCTAGGGCGCTGGAGGGAGGGAGAGAGGGGAGGAAGAGGAGGAGAGAAGGGGAGAGGCATGAGGAACAGCCATCACTTCGGCCACCCCCTTGCACTGCCTGCTGTCCAGTCGATATAGGCTAGTAGCGCTCGGGATGCTTGGTGGGCTTGAGAGGCTAGGGCGCTGGAGGGAGGGCGGGGAGGGAAATAGGAAGAAGCATCGCCCCGCCCCGCCCAGATGCTTTTCCCTATTCACCCCAGATGCTTCTTCCCTATTCACCCCAGATGCTTCCCTATTCACCCCAGATGCTTCTTCCCTATTCACCCCAGATGCTTCTTCCCTATTCACCCCAGATGCTTCCCTATTCACCCCAGATGCTTCTTCCTATTCACCCCAGATGCTTCTTCCTATTCACCCCAGATGCTTCTTCCTATTCACCCCAGATGCTTCTTCCTATTTCCCTCCCCGCCCTCCCTCCAGCGCCCTAGCCTAGAGCATCACTATAGGCGATGCCGTCTAAAGGCACCTGGGATCGACCATCCCTTCAGCCAACCCCTCGTTCTGCCTGCTGTCAATGTAAGCTAGCAGCACACGGGATAATTGGACGACAGGGAGAGAGCAGACTTTTGAGTCGACTCAAAAGACAGGGAGAGAGCAGCAAGAGAGCTGAAGGCAGGCAGGGAGGAGGACGAGAAGAGAGGCAGGGGGAGAGAGACTTCAGCCGAAACTTCAGCCACTCCCACACACTGCGTGCTGTCAACGTACGCTAGTTGCAGCACACAGGCAGAGCAACGATATCGTGTTTTGAGACGTCTCAGGGTTTGTTGTTTCAGGGTTTCGGGTTTAGGGTCTCGGGCGCTGGAGGGAGGCAGGGGGGGAGAGAAAGGAGGAAAGGATGCGTCGGCTGCGTAAGGAGGAGTTGTTACAGGAGGACTCATTAGCTGGAACAAAGAGACTGTGAAGCTGGCAAGGGTTTGGACATTTGGGCCAGGGCTTTCTGACTTTTGAGTCGACTCAAAAGACATTTGGGTCAGGGCTTTCCAGTGCATCCATGTCCCACAACCCATCTCTTGCCGATACTCTCCCTCCAGCACGGTAGCAAAGATGCTCGTCCCCCTCCCCTTCTTCCTCATGCACTGGGCGAAATCCCCCAGACATGGATCGCAGGGAATGTCAGGGGGTCCTATTGACCCTGTTGGGTTTGGTCATACCATACCTGTAATCCCCTTCCAGCACGGTAGCAAAGATGCTCACCCCTCGGCCTTTCTTCCTCGTGCACTTGGCGAAGTCGCTCAGGCGCCGATGGCAGGGCGCATCGGGGGGTCCTAGTGACCCCCCCCCCTATCACCTCCCCTCCCCTGCTATCTCCCCTATGCTCACAGCAGACTTGCTTGTGTTTCACCCTCACTTTTGAGTCGACTTAAAGCCCAGGTCCCAAATCAGTCACGCAGGCATCAAACTGGGCCCAGTTTGATGCTGACCGAGCTCGCGAACTACCCAAGAAGAAAAGAACCAACTAACCCTTCGCCAGAGTGAGAGGAAAAGCCGAGGTTGGTATATCTACGGTGGAATTCAACTTTGCAAACTGGGCCCAGTTTGATTCGTGCAGTTTCCGCCGTTGGATCGGACTTGCCAAACCCAACTCCTGCTCTCCCCAGGTTTCCAATCGACGGCTGTATCTGTGCTTACAATTTGGGATTCCATGTGTTCCTGCGTCTCAGCCGTCAGATCCGTATTTGGCCCAACTTGAACCCCCCCCCAAATCAAACTGGGCCCAGCTTGCATACGAAACCCTGCGCGAAGTAACAGAATCAATTTTTCGCACCCAATAACAATATTGTTTTTTCCACCCGCCCAGCCCAAATTCTGCCCGTTGACTTGCGTTAGCTCATCTGGGATCTGGGCTTTAAAAGTCAGAAGTCACCTTTTGAGTCGACTCAAAAGTCAAAAGCCACCTTTTGAGTCGACTCAAAGTCACCCTATCACCTCCCCTCCCCTGCTATTCCCCCTCTGCCCAGGGCAGACTTGCTTGTCTTTCACCCTCACCTGTACTCCCCTTCCAGCACTGTAGCAAAGATGCTCATCCCCCTCCCCTTCTTCCTCATGCACTTGGCGAAATCGCCCAGGCGCGGATGGCAGGGCGCGTCGGGGGGTAGCAGGCCCCAGGGCTTGCAGAGGATGAGCGGGATGGGGTACCAGTTCTTGGGATGCACCTGACTCACTGTTGATGGGGGAATGCGTGGTAAAATAAGGACGAAGAGGGAGAAGGGAGTGAGTGGGTAGGAATCTCAGAGCAGCAGGTCCCAGGGCTTGCAGAGGATGAGCGGGATGGGGTACCAGTTCTTGGGATGCACCTGGCTGACTGATAGGGGGAAAGTGGAAAGAAAGTGGAAAAGGGGGGATGGAAGGAAAGGGAAGAGGGTGAGTAGGAGCAGAAAATCCGGGCCAAAAGGCAGCAGGCCCCATGGCTTGTGGAGGATGAGCGGGATGGGGTACCAGTTCTTGGGGGAAGCACCTAGCTGACTGTGGCGTGGAAAAATAGGGGCGAGAAAGGGGGAATGGAAAGGAATGGGGAGGAGAGTGCAAGGGTAAAGGGGTCGAGAGGGGCACAAAGGGCCGGGCACTACAGCAGCAGCAGAGGCCCCATCGCTTGTGGAGAATAGGCGGAATGGGGTTCCAGTTCTTGGGATGCACCTGGCTCACTGTGGCGTGTGGAGGATGGGGGCAGGAAAGGGGGCAGGGGAAGAGAGGACAACTACAAATGGAAGGGATGGCAAGCGCAAGGGGTTTACAGGCCCCAGGGAGTGCAGAGGATGAGCGGGATGGGGTACCAATTCCTGGGATGGACCTGACTGGCTGTGGCATAAAGGGGGAGTGGATGAGGGAAAGCAAGGAGAAGAGAAGGGTGAGAGGGATAGGAGCAGAGCCGTTGAGGGGCAGTGGGCGGGCGGGTAGATGAGGGCCTCTAGGGTGAGGCAGACACGGCTTCTTGAAGCAGTGCTGCTGCCTGACAGGGTAAGGAGCACACAGCACTCAGACACTACACCCTGGGAAGCAACCAAACCTACCTCACAGGAAGTACAGGACAGGGAGGGAAATGTATGAATGCAGACATCGGTCCCATGATCTAGCGGTTATGATGTCAGACTCTGAATCTGAAAGCCCGAGTTCAATTCTCGGTGGGACCTTTATTGTCATTCTCGCCATTAAAACAACTGAAGGGGAGAAACCGCCACGAGCCTGCCACTGCCAAACCCGAACCAACTGCCTCAGGTTCTCCGAACCGAGCATGCTTTTTTGGCAAGCCTTGAGAATCCGTGTCCCTGCTCTTCGTACATTACAGCACAACGATAGCTATGAGCATGGAACACTGGCGTTCGAATGGGGTCTGTTTGAACAGTCACCACCCTGCACCACAGACGGTACTGTATTAAACTCAAACACGTGGTACCATATTCAACCTGCTCGAAAACGGCATCTTGCGTCCCGTGCCCTAAATTGGTTTTGACGCAATAACCAATTTGCTGGCATGTAGAAATGACCCCGTCTCCCCAATCACAGGACATTGTGGGGAGCACAGCACAAGGAGCAAGCATATCTCCGGGCAAGGTAAGGAGCACAGCACACTCATGTCACCACCCTTTAGGGGAAGCAAGCATACCTCCAGGAAGTGCAGAGAGCGCAGGGCGAGCTGCATGTGTGCTGATTTCACGCCGTCGCCCCAGACACAGGGTGTTGCAGGGAGCACAGGGAACACTCGAGAGCAGCACTTGACAACCGACGCTCTAGAGAGAACAGACACAGACCTCCGAGGAAGTGCAGGGAGCGAGCGCAGGGCGAGCTGCATGTAAGCTGATTTCACGCCGTCGCCCCAGACACAGGGTGTTGCAGGGAGCACAGGGAACACTCGAGAGCAGCACTTGACAACCGGCGCTCTAGAGACAACAGACACAGACCTCCGAGGAAGTGCAGGGAGCGCAGGGCGAGTTGCATGTAAGCTGATTTCACGCCGTCGCCCCAGTCGCCTGCCTTCCCCACCATGCTGACATAGATGTAGATGAGCACTGCTAGGGTGAGGCAGACCACGGTGAAGAACCACGATATCAGGTACATGATGGCTGGGGGGGGGGGTGGGGGTGGGTGGGGGGCGGTGGGGGGGGGGGGTGAGGGGGGGATGAGGGGGAGAAGAGGGGGTTGTTATAGAGGGTTGGGGAGGGGGGTGAGTGGGGTGGGGTGGGGCGTGCGTGTGATGGCTGCATGGGGGGGCAGGAGGGAGGAGTGACTCGTGAGTCAACTAAAGGAACCACCAGAAGCGACACTTATAGGCAGACGAAGAGTGACGGAATCGGGTGCATTGTAACCGCTCGCTTGGGGGCGGGAAGGAGCTGCACTGCACAAGTGACTCTGGGTGAATGCTAAAGACGACATCCATCCCTGCAAGGAGGCAGATTATTGCAAGTGGGCCCTTGTGTATGAGATGAAAGGTGGCATGTTGCAGTCCATGCTGACGTAAGCCTAGGTGAATGCACAGCTAAGGCCCAGACAGGCAGAGATGAGGCATGAATAGCCTACCAGGCAGAGATGAGGCATGAATAGCCTACCAGGCAGAGATGAGGCATGAATAGCCTACCAGGCAGAGATGAGGCATGAATAGCCTACCAGGCAGAGATGAGGCATGAATAGCCTACCAGGCAGAGATGAGGCATGAATAGCCAACCAGGCAGAGATGAGGCATGAATAGCCTACCAGGCAGAGATGAGGCATGAATAGCCTACCAGGCAGAGATGAGGCATGAATAGCCAACCAGGCAGAGATGAGGCATGAATAGCCTACCAGGCAGAGATGAGGCATGAATAGCCTACCAGGCAGAGATGAGGCATGAATAGCCCACCAGGCAGAGATGAGGCATGAATAGCCTACCAGGCGGAGATGAGGCATGAATAGCCAACCAGGCAGAGATGAGGCATGAATAGCCTACCAGGCAGAGATGAGGCATGAATAGCCTACCAGGCAGAGATGAGGCATGAATAGCCAACCAGGCAGAGATGAGGCATGAATAGCCTACCAGGCAGAGATGAGGCATGAATAGCCTACCAGGCAGAGATGAGGCATGAATGGCCCACCAGGCAGAGATGAGGCATGAATAGCCTACCAGGCGGAGATGAGGCATGAATAGCCTACCAGGCAGAGATGAGGCATGAATAGCCTACCAGGCAGGCAGAGATGAGGCATGCATAGCCTACCAGGCAGAGATGAGGCATGAATAGCCTACCAGGCAGAGATGAGGCATGAATAGCCCACCAGGCAGAGATGAGGCATGAATAGCCTACCAGGCAGAGATGAGGCATGAATAGCCTACCAGGCAGAGATGAGGCATGAATAGCCCACCAGGCAGAGATGAGGCATGAATAGCCTACCAGACAGAGATGAGGCATGAATAGAATAGCCTACCAGGCAGAGATGAGGCATGAATAGCCTACCAGGCAGGCAGAGATGAGGCATGCATAGCCTACCAGGCAGAGATGAGGCATGAATAGCCTACCAGGCAGAGATGAGGCATGAATAGCCCACCAGGCAGAGATGAGGCATGAATAGCCTACCAGGCAGAGATGAGGCATGAATAGCCTACCAGGCAGAGATGAGGCATGAATAGCCCACCAGGCAGAGATGAGGCATGAATAGCCTACCAGACAGAGATGAGGCATGAATAGCCTACCAGGCAGAGATGAGGCATGAATAGCCTACCAGGCAGGCAGAGATGAGGCATGAATAGCCTACCAGGCAGAGATGAGGCATGAAAAGCCTACCAGGCAGAGATGAGGCATGAATAGCCCACCAGGCAGAGATGAGGCATGAATAGCCTACCAGGCAGAGATGAGGCATGAATAGCCTACCAGGCAGAGATGAGGCATGAATAGCCCACCAGGCAGAGATGAGGCATGAATAGCCTACCAGGCAGAGATGAGGCATGAATAGCCTACCAGGCAGAGATGAGGCATGAATAGCCCACCAGGCAGAGATGAGGCATGAATAGCCAACCAGGCAGAGATGAGGCATGAATAGCCCACCAGGCAGAGATGAGGCATGAATAGCCTACCAGGCAGAGATGAGGCATGAATAGAATAGCCTACCAGGCAGAGATGAGGCATGAATAGCCTACCAGGCAGAGATGAGGCATGAATAGCCTACCAGGCAGAGATGAGGCATGAATAGCCTACCAGGCAGAGATGAGGCATGAATAGCCTACCAGGCAGAGATGAGGCATGAATAGCCCACCAGGCAGAGATGAGGCATGAATAGCCTACCAGGCAGAGATGAGGCATGAATAGCCTACCAGGCAGAGATGAGGCATGAATAGCCCACCAGGCAGAGATGAGGCATGAATAGCCTACCAGGCAGAGATGAGGCATGAATAGCCCACCAGGCAGAGATGAGGCATGAATAGCCTACCAGGCAGAGATGAGGCATGAATAGCCTACCAGGCAGAGATGAGGCATGAATAGCCTACCAGGCAGAGATGAGGCATGAATAGCCTACCAGGCAGAGATGAGGCATGAATAGCCTACCAGGCAGAGATGAGGCATGAATAGCCCACCAGGCAGAGATGAGGCATGAATAGCCAACCAGGCAGAGATGAGGCATGAATAGCCCACCAGGCAGAGATGAGGCATGAATAGCCTACCAGGCAGAGATGAGGCATGAATAGAATAGCCTACCAGGCAGAGATGAGGCATGAATAGCCTACCAGGCAGAGATGAGGCATGAATAGCCTACCAGGCAGAGATGAGGCATGAATAGCCTACCAGGCAGAGATGAGGCATGAATAGCCTACCAGGCAGAGATGAGGCATGAATAGCCCACCAGGCAGAGATGAGGCATGAATAGCCTACCAGGCAGAGATGAGGCATGAATAGCCTACCCGGCAGAGATGAGGCATGAATAGCCTACCAGGCAGAGATGAGGCATGAATAGCCTACCAGGCAGAGATGAGGCATGAATAGCCTACCAGGCAGAGATGAGGCATGAACAGCCCACCAGGCAGATCACAGCTCCACCAAAAGAGAGACCATCCGTTGGTGCCAGCACTAGCGGGGCCAGGCCAACAGGAGAAGCCTAGTGAGGGAGTGAGCGTGGGGGGGCAAGTTACCTACCAGGCATTTCGGGCAGAGAAGGGCCCCGCCAAGGGAGACCATCCAGCAGTGCCCTTGCCAGCAGGGACGCCAGGAGGGGCTTTACTGAGAGATGACGGTTGGGGCACCTTCCAAAGGCATGCGAAACTCACTGAGTCACAGCAGAACCCCAGCGAGGGAGACGAGCTAGTGGTGCCAGCCAGCGCCACCTGGGACGCCAGGAGGGCGCATCTATGAGGTCGAGGAGAGCAATAGAGAGACAGTGGCAGTGGGGGTGGGGGCACTCACTCAGGCACAGCAGAGCCCCGGCAAGAGACACGAGCCAGTGGTGCCAGCGCCAGCGCGGGCGCCAGGAGGGGGCGTCGACGAGGTCGAGGAGAGCACAGGAGAGGTTGACGCCGCAGTAGCATAGGAGAAAGAACATGGTGATGACCGGGGAGACATAGTCCACGTCGCCTATCAGCACGAAGCTGCAGAGACGAGGGGAAGGGGGAGCAGAGTGCACATAGCACGTGGATTAGAAGAGGAGAAAGAACATAGTGGTGACCGGGGATACGCAGTCCACGTCGCCTATCAGCACGAAGCTGGGAGGGGGGAAAACGCATGGGCCCATGGAAAGTGCACGTAGCACATGGATTTGAAGAGGAGAAAGAACATGGTGATGACCGGCGAGAAGTAGTCCACGTCGCCTATGAGCACGATGCTGGGAGATAACAGGGGCGATAGACGCATAGGAGAGGGAGGAGTATAGGAGCACATGGCAGATGGCACATGGCAGATGGCACATGGCACATGGCAGATGGCACATGGCAGATGGCACATGGCAGATGGCACATGGCACATGGCAGATGGCACATGGCAGATGGCACATGGCAGATGGCACATGGCACATGGCAGATGGCACATGGCAGATGGCACATGGCACATGGCAGATGGCACATGGCACATGGCAGATGGCACATGGCAGATGGCACATGGCACATGCAGTAGCTGAGGAGAAAGAACATCGTGATGACTGGCGACACGTAGTCCACGTCCTTTATCTGCAGCATAGCTGCAGCTAGCCCCACCGGCAGCAGAGGACGAGGTGGAATGAACAACATCGCGAGGTGCGGCTCCTTATCCTTGAATGCATTTAGCATGGCACGGGCAGCACACTGAAATTTGCCATCGCTGCCAGCAGCACGTAATCCTGTAATACCTGCAACCTGGTAGCAATACCTGCAACCCGGTAGCAATACCTGCAACCCGGTAGCAATACGTGCAGCCCGGTAGCAATACCTGCAACCCGGTAGCAATACCTGCGACCCAGTAGCAATACCTGCAACCCGGTAGCAATACCTGCAACCCGGTAGCAATACCTGCAACCCGGTAGCAATACCTGAGCAGGAACAGGAAGCAAGCCCTACCTGCAGCAGAGGACGAGGGTGAAGAACGTTGCTAGATGAGGCTCCTTGTCACTATCCGCCTTGAACGCATTCAGCACGGGAAGCACGCTGTCATTCGCTATCGCTGCCAGCAGCCGCGGGGCGCCCATCAGATTCTGCAGCGCTGCTCCCAGGGTTGAGAGGACAATGCCCACCTGTGCACGCATGACGAGGGGAGCGAGGGGGGGCAAAGGGGGCCGCCCATGAGATCGTGCCATTCTATGCCCCGGATTGAGAAGCCTATGCCCAGGATTGAGAGGCCTATGCCCAGGATTGAGAGGCCTATGCCCAGGATTGAGAGGCCTATGCCCAGAATTGAGAGGCCTATGCCCGGGATTGAGAGGCCTATGCCCAGGATTGAGAGGCCTATGCCCAGGATTGAGAGGCCTATGCCCAGGATTGAGAGGCCTATGCCCAGGATTGAGAGGCCTATGCCCAGGATTGAGAGGCCTATGCCCAGGATTGAGAGGCCTATGCCCAGGATTGAGAGGCCTATGCCCAGGATTGAGAGGCCTATGCCCGGGATTGAGAGGCCTATGCCCAGGATTGAGAGGCCTATGCCCAGGATTGAGAGGCCTATGCCCAGGATTGAGAGGCCTATGCCCAGGATTGAGAGGCCTATGCCCCGGATTGAGAGACCTATGCCCGGGATTGAGAGGCCTATGCCCAGAATTGAGAGGCCTATGCCCAGGATCGAGAGGCCTATGCCCAGGATCGAGAGGCCTATGCCCGGGATTGAGAGGCCTATGCCCAGGATTGAGAGGCCTATGCCCAGGATTGAGAGGCCTATGCCCAGGATTGAGAGGCCTATGCCCAGGATTGAGAGGCCTATGCCCAGGATTGAGAGGCCTATGCCCAGGATTGAGAGGCCTATGCCCGGGATTGAGAGGCCTATGCCCAGGATTGAGAAGCCTATGCCCAGGATTGAGAGGCCTATGCCCGGGATTGAGAGGCCTATGCCCAGGATTGAGAGGCCTATGCCCAGAATTGAGAGGCCTATGCCCAGGATCGAGAGGCCTATGCCCAGGATTGAGAGGCCTATGCCCAGGATTGAGAGGCCTATGCCCAGGATTGAGAGGCCTATGCCCAGGATTGAGAGGCCTATGCCCAGGATTGAGAGGCCTATGCCCAGGATTGAGAGGCCTATGCCCAGGATTGAGAGGCCTATGCCCAGGATTGAGAGGCCTATGCCCAGGATTGAGAGGCCTATGCCCAGGATTGAGAGGCCTATGCCCGGGATTGAGAGGCCTATGCCCAGGATTGAGAAGCCTATGCCCAGGATTGAGAGGCCTATGCCCGGGATTGAGAGGCCTATGCCCAGGATTGAGAGGCCTATGCCCGGGATCGAGAGGCCTATGCCCAGGATCGAGAGGCCTATGCCCAGGATTGAGAGGCCTATGCCCAGGATTGAGAGGCCTATGCCCAGGATTGAGAGGCCTATGCCCAGGATTGAGAGGCCTATGCCCAGGATTGAGAGGCCTATGCCCAGGATTGAGAGGCCTATGCCCAGGATTGAGAGGCCTATGCCCGGGATTGAGAGGCCTATGCCCAGGATTGAGAGGCCTATGCCCAGGATTGAGAGGCCTATGCCCGGGATTGAGAGGCCTATGCCCATGATTGAGAGGCCTATGCCCGGGATTGAGAGGCCTATGCCCAGGATTGAGAGGCCTATGCCCATGATTGAGAGGCCTATGCCCGGGATTGAGAGGCCTATGCCCACCTGATTGTGCTTGAGAAGGGGAGAGCAGGGGGGAAAGAGCGGAGCGGAGCGGAGGTGGGGAAGATGGATGGGGTGGGGGAGTGAAAGCAGGTAGCTGAGGGGCGGCCATGAGAGTGCGGGTCGCAGGTTGAGAGGACGATACCCAACTGAGGGCGAGAGATGGAGCGAGGGAGTGCGTGTGAGGGAGAGTGGGATTTTTCTTTTGGTTATCTGATCAACAGCTGGCACACACCTGCACGACAGCTGGCACGGGCCATGCGATGGTGGCGGTGAGAAGCCTGTCAGGGGAAAGAGAGAGGCGGGGGGAATGGAGGGGGGGAAAGGAGGGGGGGAGAGGTGGGAAGTGAGAGACGTAAAGAGTGAGCCTTTGAGTCGACTGTGACCAACCACACCCATTGGCGCCCCTTATTGCTCACACACCAGCCAACCCCCCTCACCTGCCAGTGACCAACATGCCCTTGGCAGGCACAGCCCCAAAGAGGAGGACGGATGGAGCCCACATTGAGCGCGGTCATGGGCGCTATCGCTGCCAGAGTGCCCCATGAGTGGCCCTGTATGCCTGTGCGAGTCCCTTACCAGCATTCCCCCCCAGTAGGTCTCAAACGCCAGCAGGACCAAAGAGCAGAATCGAGCCCACATAGATCGCGGTCATGGCCACTATGGCCGCCAGAGGAGAGGAGTGCCCCTGATCGCCAACCGTCCGCCCCCCTTCCCCTCACCTGTCAGTGACCAGCAAGTCCCTCACGCCAACGGCCCCAACGAGCAGAATCGAGCCCAAATAGAGCGCCGTCACATGGACACTCTGGCGGCCAGCGAGCCTGTGGGGATCGGCCGCTGCGTGTCCCTCAAAGGCTCACCTGTCAGTGACCAGCAGGTCCCTCACACCGACAGCACCAAACAGAAATATGGAGCCCACATAGAGCCCCGTCATAGACACTATGGCCGCCAGAGTGCCCGTGGGGATCGACCGCTGCGTGTCGCGTAGGGCCTCGGAGCGATTGGACCCCGCCATTATGCCGGTGACACCGGGGTAAAACAGACCCAGCAGCTGGCTGCACATGCACGGGGAGGGGAGGATGCACGAGAAGGAGCGGGTCAAGCGTGTCCCTCAGAGCCCCAGGGGGGTTAGACCCCGCCATTAAAGCCCCCCCAGAAAGAGAGGCGTACTTACAGCCCCTTAGACAGAGAGGCGTAATTACAGCCCTAGCAGAAAAAGAGACGTACTTACAGGTAGAAAGAGAGACGTACTTAAAGCCCCAGTAGAAGGACCCGTTGGGGTCGGGAATGCCATTGGCGTTGGTGGTCTGGTAATCCGGTAACCAGTTGGAGACAAGGGTGCTGATGCTGAGACCAGTCAGGCCAGCTGCCAGGGTTGCGGGGAACGGGGATAGGCGGTAGAGAGCAAACAACGAAAAGAGGGGGAGCGCAAGCAGGAGGAAGAGGAGAGCAAGCAGGAGGAAGAGGAGGAGGTTAGGACCCCTCTCCTTGGACTCCAAGACGGCCGCTGGGCTGGGCTGGGCTGGGCTGGGCTGGGCTGGGCTGGGCTGAATCACCTGGTGACTCAGCATCTGGGGACAAGGCAATGCCGATGAAGACGGAAATGGCAGCTAGGGACGACCGGGATGATGAAGAGCGAAGAGTCAGCTCAGCTGCTGAGGCGCACCAAGCAGCTCTCAAAAGCATACCTGGCGACTCAGCATCCGGCGACAAGGCAATCCCGATGAAGACAGAGATGACAGCGAGGACAGCCGGGATGATGAAGAGCGAACCCACTCGGTCCACCAGGTGCACTCCTCCGAACACTATGAGGCAGAGGAGAACAGTAATGATGATGCCGTATGCCTGGGGGAGGGGGGTGGGGGGACGAGGGAGAGAAGAGAGGGGGATGTGGGGGACTGATTTGGCTTGACGCACAGGAGCCCACTCGGTCTAGCAGGTGCGCACTGCCAAACACTATGAGGCAAAGCAGGATGGTGATGATGATGCCATATGCCTGGTGAGACCGTGAGAGGAGGAAGGGAAGTTTCATGGCATTTGAGTTCCCTCTGAATAATGTCACTCCACGCTATGAGGTACACACACATACCATACCATACCATACTATATTTGCCTCATGCAGTTCAGGTCGACAATGGTGGCTGCTGCTTCAGTCACTGACCTAAACCCTAAGGCCTACCTACCTGTGCGCCTGAGGTGAAGCCCTCCCTTCCGTTGTGTAACTCAAAAGCTCAAAAGCCTACTAAGGCCTACCTGCATGTCCTGCCTCAAAAGCCTAAGGCCTACCTGCATGTCGTGCCTTGACACGGACAACACGGTTGCAGCGGCTGTTGGTGCAGCAGCTATGGTGCCATTGATAACAGCTTCACTTGCATTCAATGCTGTCTGCAGCGTCACTGACGTCGCTGGTGATGGCACAGGAGGAGGGAGCAGGGGGGAGACGATTGGGGAGGGAGGGGTTTGGGGTTGGGGGCCTAACACAAGGGTGGACTGAAACAGAGCGGGAGAGATGTAAGCAATGAGAAAGACATGGAAGAGGATGGAGGGGAGTGGGGGGGGGAGGAGTGAGAAGGGGTGGCAGGGCTGGCAGGGGTGGCAGGGGTGGCAGGGAACGCACGTGGGAAGAGAGCCATCTGAGGCATGGCGTCCAGTAGCGTTTCCACCGCTCCCAGTATGTAGCTGTGGCGGGGGAAGGGGAGAGTGGGAGGGAGGGAGGGAAAGGAGGGGTGAAGGGGTGGAGGGGAATGCATAGGTTGACAGTCAGGGGCCGGGGTAAAGGAGAGATTGAGAAATGACTAGTCAAGAGTATGCCAGATGAGTCTATTTTTTAGGCGCCTCAAGAATGACTATGCCAGATGAGTCTATTTTTGAGGCGCCTCAAGAATGACTATGCCAGATGAGTGAGTCAATTTTTGAGGCGCCTCAAGAATGACTATGCCAGATGAGTGAGTCTATTTTTGAGGCGCCTCAAGAATGACTATGCCAGATGAGTCTATTTTTGAGGCGCCTCAAGAATGACTATGCCAGATGAGTCTATTTTTGAGGCGCCTCAAGAATATGCCAGAGAAAATGACTAGTCAAGAAAAGTGCGGATGGAATGAAAGGAATTGCAGAAAACGTGAAACATAGAAAACAAATACCATGCGATGGAAATTTGTAACCCATAAACTATGGAAAAAACCTCAGATAGAACTTGACCCCGTTGACACTGGTTGACCCCGGTTGACTCACAGCGATCCTCCAATGGCGTTGCTTGCAGCAGACGAAACAGAGACCAGTGCTGACTTCAATGACCCCGTTGACTCCGTCTGACTCACAGGGTCAGGGGATCCACCAATGGCATTGCCAGAGAAGAACCAGGGACCGATGCTTTCTCCAGTGACCCCATGGACTTAGACTTGAATGTTTCCGGTTGACTCCATTTGACTCCGGTTGACTCACAGCGATCCACCGATGGCATTGCCAAAGAAGAAGCAGAGACCGATGCTGACCCCCACCTCAGGCCCCAGTGCCCGACCAATAAGATAGTAGGGACCCCCACCCTGATGGGCATGGCATGAGAGCATGGGAGTGGTGTGTGGGAGGGACAGGGCTTGAGGAATGGAGAGAGTGGGATGTATGGGATGCAACTCGAGGCACAGGCCCCAGTGCCCAGCCAATAGGGTAGTAGGGACCCCCACCCTGATGGGCAGGGCGTGAGAGCTTGGGAGTAGTGTGGTTGGGAGGGATGGGAGTGGTGAGTGGGAGGGACGGGGCTTGAGGAATGTTGAGAGTGGGAGGTATGGGACGCAACTCGAGGCACCTCAGGCCCCAGTGCCCTGCCAATAGGGTAGTAGGGCATGGGATAAAAGCATAGAAGTGGTGTGTGTGGGAGGGATGGGAGCGGTGTGTGTGGGAGGGGTGGGAGTGGTGTGTGTGGGAGGGATGGGCCATGGGGAATGGTGCATTTGCGAGGGATGGGGCATAAGACACCTCAGGACCCAGAGAGGCATAAGGGACCACACCCGCAAAAACATGGGCTTTCGCGGATGGGGCATGGCGTGTGGGACTTGCCAACATGGGCCATGGGGCATGGGCCACGGGGCATCGGCCATGGGGCATGGGGCAGGGGCCATGGGGCATGGGGCATGGAGCATGGAGCAGGGACTTCACACCTTCATAGCGCCGTTGGTGACAACAGCAGACAGCGAGAGAGCTGTGATGAAAGTGCTAGCACACGTGACAGCCACCACCATCAGGCTCCCGCTCACCCCCGCAATGCCCACTATCCTGAAGGGTTCAGGGTTTGAAGTTCAGAAAGTCAGGGTTGAGGGTTTAAATTTTCAGGGTTAAGTGCTGGCACACGTGACGGCCACCACCATCAGGCTCCCGCTCACACCGGCTATGCCCACTATCCTGCAGGGTTCAGGGGTTTCGGGTTCAGGATTTAGAGTTTGCGGGTAACGGGTGGCAAAAAGGTGCCACCACCATCGGGCTCCTGCTCGCTCCAGCTATGCCCACTGTCATGTAGAGTTCAGGGGGTTTCGGGTTTAGGGGTTTCAAGTTCAGGGGGTTTCGGGTTCAGGGTTTAGAGTCTGAGGGTAAAGTGCTGGCACACGTGACGGCCACCACCATCAGGCTCCCGCTCACACCGGCTATGCCCGCCCACCACTATCCTGCAGGGTTCAGGGGTTTCGGGTTCAGGATTTAGAGTTTGCGGGTAACGGGTGGCAAAAAGGTGCCACCACCATCGGGCTCCTGCTCGCTCCAGCTATGCCCACTGTCATGTAGAGTTCAGGGGGTTTCGGGTTTAGGGGTTTCAAGTTCAGGGGGTTTCGGGTTCAGGGTTTAGAGTCTGAGGGTAAAGTGCTGGCACACGTGACGGCCACCACCATCAGGCTCCCGCTCACACCGGCTATGCCCGCCCACCACTATCCTGCAGGGTTCAGGGGTTTCGGGTTCAGGATTTAGAGTTTGCGGGTAACGGGTGGCAAAAAGGTGCCACCACCATCGGGCTCCTGCTCGCTCCAGCTATGCCCACTGTCATGTAGAGTTCAGGGGGTTTCGGGTTTAGGGGTTTCAAGTTCAGGGGGTTTCGGGTTCAGGGTTTAGAGTCTGAGGGTAAAGTGCTGGCACACGTGGCGGCCAGTGGGCCACCACCATCAGGCTCCAGCTCGACCCCGCAGCGCCCACTATCCTGCCACGCACAGGGCTCAGGGGTTAGGGGTTCAGGGTTTAGGGAATAGAGGTAAAGTGCAGCAGAGAGGCGGCTACTGCTATCAAGCTCCCGCTCACCCCTCCTACGCCCTCTATATCCTGCCTGACACGAGGTGAGGTGGGTGGCTGAAAGCGAAAGGATGCATAACACAGCAAGGGGCAACACTCTGGACGTGCAAAATTGCAGAAAGGAGGTGAGCAGGCGGGCAAAGGAAGAACATGTGAGAGGCCAGTAGTAGGAGAGAGGAGAGGCAGGGGTGGATGGGAGGGGAGGACGCACCAGGAGAGACGAATGTAGAAGATGATCCCAAGGATGTTCTGCACGCATGGGATGTACACCCCTGTCAGCGTGCCCAGCTTGCCTGGTGACGGCACCTGGGGGGAGGTAGAGTAGGGGGGAGCAGGAGAGGGAGTGGCAGGGAGTGGGGGGGGGGAGCAGGAGAGGGAGTGGCAGGAGGGAGCAGGAGGGAGTGGGGGGGAGCGGGAAGGAGCGCTGTTTTGACATGTTCTGCGTGCAAGGGATGTACACCCCTGTAAGCATGCCCAGCTTGCCTGGTGAAGGCACCTGGGGGAGAGGAGAGGGAAGAGTGAACAGAGCAGGAGTCGAGAGGCGGAGTGCTGAGGCGCCTAGCAGCAGCGTGTACTGCACACAGGGGAGTACTCGGTACACTCCTGTTAGCGTGCTGTGATCAGCTTGCCGGCTGAAGGCAGCTGGGAGAAGAGAGGGAGTGTGGAAAGGGCGAGAGGGAGGAGGTCAGGAGAGGGAGCAGATTACTCGAGTTGGGAAGGAGAGGACAGACGGATGATTGAGTGAACTCTGGATTGAAAATTGGAACGAAAACCTGAGTGAAACGCTGACTGAACTGAGTCTTTAAGTGGACTGTTGAGAAGAAAGAGAGAGCAGCTTTTGAGTGACCCCTGCAGCACTCACCGTGTCTTGGTCGCGGTGCACTTGCAGCGAGTCCGACTCGTGGGGGCTTTTGGGCGAATAATAGCCCCCACCCATCCTGCTTGCATGGCATGGCATGGCATGGCAACATAAGAGAAACAAGGCACGGCATGGGGCGGGTTGGGTGCACTCCCCCACCCATCCTGTTTGCATGCATGGCATGGCATGGGAAGGTATGGCATGGCATGCCAAGGTATGGCATGGCATGCCAAGGTATGGCATGGCTTGAAAGGCGTGGAAAAACAAGGCATGCTGTGGGATGGGATTGATTGATTGTTGTGCAATTGCAGAGTCAGAATCGTGGAGAAGAAAAGCACATATGATTGGATAGAGTGATTGTGTTGTGGCATAAGTTACCACGGCATGAGTTAGCATGGCATGAGTTACCATGGCATGAGTTACCACGGCATGAGTTAGCATGGCATGAGTTACCATGGCATATGTTACCAGCATGGCATGGAATGAGATGGCACGGGATGGCATGCGTTGAAGTTGGCACCATGGAATTGGATAGTATGGTGCAGAACAGAGACACGGAGTTGACATGACTCCGTCGACACGGAGCTGGTTGAAGCACATGAGCTTCAACCAGCCCTGGTCCCAGCGACTGCATTTAAGTCATGTAACCAGCAAAGTCTCCCTTCGATGCAGCCACGCCTCACTTCTTCACCCCCACAGCATACCTCTTCACCCCATCACAGCATACCTCTTCAACCCACAGCATACCTCTTCACCCCCACAGCGTCCACCAGCCGGTCACTCTCAAACAGCTCCAGGTGGTGATCCCCATGCCTTCTCCCCTCATGCCTCTCCTCCCCGTGCCTCTCCCCTCGCCCTCCCTCCGCTGCTGCTACCCCCCTTGGGCTACGTGCATACATGCCGTGTGCACCCGTGCCATAGCCCTCGCTGAGGGTGGATGTGGCGCTCAAAGAGCCCTGACTGGTGGGTTATGGGGAGGAGGGGCGGGGGGAGGAGGGGGGGAGCTTAAACCCTTCGCTGAGGGAGGGTGGACGTGGCGCTCACAGCGCCCTGACTGGCGGGTTAGAAGGGGAGGGGAAGGCAATCGGTGAGGTGTACCGTGTACCGAGGAGGTGAAGCAGAGATGTGAACCCATAGCCTTCGCTGAGGGTGGTTGTGGCACGCTCAAAGTGCCTTGTTTGGCGGGATAGCGGGAAACGGGGGAGGGGGGAGAGTGGGGGCGTGGGGGGGGGATGGGTAGGTAGAATGAGGAGATGGAGCAGAGAAGTCGTGCCATAGCCTCTGCTCAAGGTGGGTTTGGCACTCAATCGAAGTGCCCTGAAAGGTGGGTTAGGAGGGAGAAGTTGAGGTGAAATGAGGACGTCGAGCAGAGCAGTTGTCAGGTGACTTTTGAGTCGACTCAAGACACGAGGGGGGTGAAGGGAGAAATGAGGTGAGACGGTGTCAGGCTTCCTCAAGGCACCAGGTCTCCTCCTGTGCCGTAATACCAATGGCTGTTGAATAGCACGTGATTGAAACGAAGGCAGCAGAGAGTTTTGACAGAAAAACGGACAGAATGGCTGACTGACGGAATAACTGACGGGATGGCTGACGGAATGGCTGACGGAACAGTGGTCGGAATAAGTGTAGAACGACGGAAGCGGGTGTTCTGATCGAGCCTAAGCACCCCAGCGAGCCTCGTCCACGCGGAAAGTAACCCCTCTCTCCTCCATGTGCACCTGCATTGTACCTGGAGGCTGGAAGTAACCCCTCCCATCTTCACCCCAACGAAAGCCAAACCCCACCTTCCCGTGTGCGCCTCTCCCCCCCTTTCCGCGTCACACTCTCCTCTCCCTCACCTCGTACTCGATTCAAGGTCCACCGATATAAGCTCCGTCGTGTCCAGGTCAGCCGAGCTGAGCTCCGTCAGCGGCACGCGCGCGTACATGGGCGGCGACGCTTGCGGCATTGTCGCGGTGGAATACAGGCGGCGAAATACAGGCGACCTACAGCGCGATTCCTATGTAAAAATATCAGGCAGAGAAGTCTCGTACACCCGTTTATATGGTGGATTCGTCTCACTGCGGCCAGCTGTCGCCGTCCAACGGCGTCTCCTGATATAAGCGTCGCAACCAATAACGAATGCAGCAACAGCACGGCATTGATTGTGGCCTCGCAGACAGCTCTGAATCACATTTGCGAGGGGAAACAGAAACTACGGTGACTCAAATGTGACTTGGAGACAATGGTGACCCAGAAACAACTCCTGCGACACACGACTCAATACTCGCTTCTGTCTCGTCGTGAGTCGGCGCCTTCGAAGCGGGAAGGCAATGCGACAACACGACGCCTCGGAAAGTCTCCTATTCTAGCATTTGCCGCGAGCGACTGGTACGAGCGACTATAAGTAACAGCGTCACTTGGCGTGAGCAAGACGGGCTGCAGGTCAGCCCAGCCAGCTTATTCCGCTGCTTGATCACGGTACGACGAAGAGCCAAAATGCAATATCGGTGGTGGTGATATGCTGGGAAAAGGTGGAGCTTTTGGGTTGGGTGCATAAGAGGGGAGCTTAGGGCGTCACACGCCCTTATCAGATCATTGATCAGCTCTCATGCATGGACAGGAGGAGAAGAGGCGTACACCCCTGATTGGCTTGGTCAGCAGGAGCACCCAGGACAGGAGCTCCACCTACCATGACCATGGCAGGGGAGTAACAAGGATAACCTATGACAAACCTATAATGATAAGGGTTTATTCTGTGTAGGTCTAGGTGGTGTTGTTTTCAACTTGCCTGCACTTAATAACTTGTTAGTTTGGTATGCCTATATTCTTATCTGCCTCAATTTGATTCCATTTTCACTCTTAGGTAGTTATTCAAATTTTCACTCTTTTGTTAGCACGTTCGCGATCAGGCCCTACGATATCATGATTTTCGTCCAAATTACGCTTTTTTTAAGGGTCCTCACCTGTACCCACCCTTATGAATCTGCCTTTTTCCCTAGTGCAACACTGATGAAAAGGTATTTTTGATGAGTTAGAGTCTGAAATAATTTCAGAGTTTTAATACAGGAGTACACTGAGGCCTCCGCTTAGTATCGCGTATCAACACTGAAACCAAGTCATCCGTGATTTCAAAGAGATTCTGACTGTCGGCGCAATTCCACCTCCCCCTCCCCGTCAATCACGGCGCTAATTGTACAGCGCTGTGAGCTCAGGGCGCGACGAATCTTGAAAGCTGCCACGTTGGTTCCAGATTGCAACAACAAAGCACACCCATTGGCCTTTGACGAAATTTGGTCCAAGTGACCGATAGGCGCTCGGTAGCAAAGCCGGTTTACACCTGCGCTGGCAACACGACGTAACGCAGAGCCTGAATCTGCCCGTCGTGCTCGTGCAGTGAAGCTGCCACCGTCCAGGCTCTGTACCGCGTTCCCCCCCCCCCCCCCCCCCCTCCCCACATCACGCCACCGTCCACACAACCAAGTCGAGGTTTCCCTCCTGGTCATAACCTCGACGTTACCAAGCTCATTTAGCAATCCTTGGCGGGGATAGGGCCACACTCCTCGTTATTCCAATACCACTCTGAGTTGCACCTCACCCACCCTCCCACCTCAGCCACCTCGCGCCATGGCTGAAGCTGGCAAAGTTTCTCAGCTCGATGGTGGGTCACCTACAGACGACCCACCTTGTCCTACACATTAGGGGCCCATCCCACGAAGCGCGCTTGATTTTTTACTCTCCTTCGCCACGCCAAACGTTAAGGCCCTCTCTGCTGCCCCTGCCTCTAGTGTTGCGGGTAAAATTGACTATAGCTCTAAATCTGTTGAAGCTAGTTCTTGCGCTACCGTAGCCCCTACGGAGTTAATCAACCCTGTGGCCAGTCCGGCACCTTCCGCGCTTCCCGACCCTGTCCCACCCCCTGATCCTATGTGGATCCCCGTTGTCGACCCAACAATCGAGCCTGACGACGTACTACCTGCGAGTGGCAGCGGCACGGTGAGACTTTCTGCCGAGAGGAGGGAGTTCGTGGCGACGGAATCCCCCCTTTGCGGACGGGGCGACGCGGGCTGGAAGGAGTGAAACCGCGGCACCACCGACAAACGACCAGCCCGAGTCGAGTGCTAGCGCTGTCCTGCAGGCTGCACGCTATCGGCAGGGTGCCCTGCCCTTTGTCTCTACATCAGCGCCAGCCACAGCGACACCACCCGAAAACCTGCAGAACAGCTCCGACTCCCCCGCTCCCCCGCTCCGACGAGTCGACGGATCGGTATCGTGAAAAGCATCTCATCATCTATGCCACCTTCGTGTGGTCACTGAGTTTTTCGCTCTCTTGACCGTCAACCGGGCGGATGCAGCGTCACTTATCGGCTTGCTGCTGTCGCACCTTCAGGCAGTCGCCATCGACCTCAACCGCATCAGCGGCATCAGCACCGGCGGCGCGGTCGTCATGACTGGTGTCCGCAACGGGCTTGTGGCGCGCTCCGAACTCGCATACCCCATCTGGTCTCATGCCATTGCATCGCTCACAGGTAGGCTTCTTACCTTGGTTGTAGAGGTTTTTTGTTTGACTGTAGTGTGTTGGTTTCAAAGCTGTTGGCAAATATTAACTTGACACTGGTTAAATACTAACTCATTTTGGATTTACCACTCTTTAATTGCAGGGAAGCCCTGGCGGCAAAGGACGCTGCCAAGACTTTGCCACATTTCGCGATGATTGACGCGTTCATTCGCTGGCTGGCACAGTTTCTTGGGAGATCCGACCCATGGCACCAACATTTCTTGGACCAGCAAGATGTCTTCTGCCAGACGAGCCTTGAACTACAAGGCATCTTCAACGTCCACTGGCTTTCGCGTGGTGAAGCCATCCTAAGGTTGGTGGCAGTCTTATCTAGTGTCATTGTGATGCTTCATGAGCTTGGTGACGTCAGGATATAAGATGGCTACCAGTTACCTATTTCAGTTCCTTCTATTTTTCCTTGCCAATCTCCTTGAGTAGCTGAACGTCTTGAACAAGATGTTTCTGCAGCGAGAGGTGAGGACTTTCGGTGTAGATCTCTCCATGGCGATGGCTGAGGCAATGGTGGGCAACCTTCTGGACCGCCTTGGCGACCTGGAGTCTCTGTTAGGCTGTTGACTCTTCATTTCAGATGGCTGGCTGCTAGGCCGCCAAGAGCGCAACGCCCTCTGCCTGGAGCATCTTATGCCGCTGGTGGCTATGTTTCGGGCGCAGCAGTCGGATGAGATCCTCCCGAGTTAGTCCGCCATGAAGAGTGTGCATGTGCTCTTTCTTTCCTAATATTCGAATGTGAAGGCAGTTAAAACATCGAGCTCGAATTTCAGGTTCTAACACCAACGTATATATTGACATGTCAGGGATTGACAAGCACAAGGCAGTGAAGAAGTTGCGCAATTTCTGCCCCATCCGAGCTGCTGCCCCGAAGCGCAAGAAGGGCTTCCAAGCTGGACTCACAGCGATGCTGAGACCCCTAACTGGCAGGACGCCTACCCCAACCTGGTGAAGTTGTGGGTGGCGGTGGTTGTTCTGCCGCTGAGCACAGTGGAGTGTGAGCGCGGGTTCTCTCACCAAATTGGCATTAAGAGCTGGTAGCGCGGGGCTATCAAAGATGCCCATCTCTCAGATCTGATGGCGATATCGCTCCTAGACTACGAACCAGAGTGGGAGGAGGTGGTGGAGATGTGGAGGAGTTACGAGAAGCGGCGGCCATTCTCTGTAATTACGCGTCCGAAGAAGCGAGTGGTGAGCGGGAAGGGTAAGGAGCCCATGGTTGAGGATGAGGGAGAGGCGGGGGATGAGGACGACGAGGGGGAGGGTGGAGAGCTTTTGTGTGATGCCGCAGAAGACCGCTGGGATGACGACGACGATGATGGGTAGTAACGAGCTCGTGTGGAAGTGCAAGTATTGCACCCAGCTAGATTGGCCAAGACCAGATGCTATTTTTCCAAGAAGAGGAACTAGGTTAGTAGGAGTAGTTAGTGCTGCTGATGTTAGCTGCGTAGTACAGCGTCGCATGCAGGGAGAGAGTCACATGAACTTTGAAGATGCTGTATGAGTAGTATTCCATCATGTCATGATTTTTATGCTTGACTTAATCTAGCTGCAACATGGGACCTTGAGAACAGTGTAAAATCTGGTGGTAAGTCTGATCGAAACGTATATGTGCAAGACGAAACCTTGAAAATCCAGAGGAAAACTTAGGCTGCCACTGATTGAAAGTTTTTTTTTCTTATGTTAACACTAGGCAAACATGGAACCTTGAAACCAATCGTGGGGCATGTTCGCGATATTACCAGCCTGGGTTCCACTACGTGATATGAGCTGAAATAACCCACACAATGTCAAACAGATTGTGTCTATGTCTTGTAGGCTAGATCGGTGTTTAGTCTTAGAGGGTACAACCCATTAGACAAAACCACATTGTTTGCCTCATTCTAGTCATTGATTCTAACTTTGATATGGTATCATGCTAGGTTAGGTCCCCTCCGCCCACCCGCGCTTCCGCCTTAGGCCTAGTCCTAGCCGGCCATTCCTAGCCGCCCGTGCCTAGCTTCCCATCGCTAGCTGCTTGTTTCGAGCCGCCCGTTTTGAGCCGCCCGTAGCTAGCCGCCCGTAGCTCTGCGGCTGCTGGCCCCGAGTTCGCCGGCCCCGTGCCTCTAGCCCTGCATTCGCCAGTCCCGCACTTGCCGGCACCAAGCTCGCCAGCCCCATGCCTGCTAGCCCAGCACTCGCTAGCCCCGCACCCGCCAGCCCAGCGCCCGTCGGCCCCACGCTCGCCAGCCCCGCGCCCGCTGGCTCCATGCCTGCTGGCCCCGCACCCGCTCGCCCGCGCTCGCTGGCCCCGCTTTCACCAGCCCCGCACCCACCTGCCAAGTGCCCGCTAGCCCTGTGCCCGCCAGCCTCACGCCCGCTGGCCTTGCGTTCGCCAGCTCCGTTCCCGTCGGCCCCGCGCTTGCCAGCCCCACGCTCGCTGGCCCCGTGCCTGCTGGCCCCGCAATCGCTAGCCCACGCTCGCTGGCCCCGCTTTCGCCAGCTCCGCGCCCACCAGTCCGGTGCCCGCCCTTCACCTCCTCGGTCTTCCTTCCCCTGACCACCAGCCTGCGCCTCCGCCACCGCCGCCTCCCCTGCCTGTCTACGGCCCTGTGTTTCCTACGCCGGACTCATCTCTTGCTCGTTTTCCCCCTCTTTCCCCTCCTACGTCTCCTCCTCTGTCTCCTGACCCGACGCCTCCGTCTCAAGTCTGGTCTTGCTGTCCCTCCCGTGCTCGTCCTGTCTCTCCTGTTTTGTGCTCTCACCCTCCCCTCCTCCCATCGCCTCATCCGTCGTCGCTTGTTGTCTGACTTCCTTCGTGCCCGCAGATCTCTAGGGACAGAGCAACGCGCACCGTCACTCTCACACAATCACATTTGGTGTGCTTGGTCTTTCTGAGGTTTGGTCTTCAGTTCTCCTTCGCACAGCCCACACCTCAATAGCAGCAGCAGCACATTACAGAACACCATATTATATGCAGTGCTGTCAAACGCTTCGGCAGCAACATGCCATGCCGC